TATTAAATGAGGCCGGTCTAAAAGTTAATGTCGAAAAGTGCAAATTTGCAGCCCCTGAATTAAAATATTTAGGTTACAAAATATCTCAGAAAGGAATAGAGACAGACGAATCAAAAATAATCGCTGTACAAAAGTATCCGACTCCAAACACGGCGAAGAAGCTCTCTTCTTTTCTAGGACTTTGTTCATATTATAGGTCCTTTATAAAAGATTTTGCAGCTATTGCTGAACCATTGTTAAAATTAAAAAGGAAAAAGGCAAGATTCTCGTGGACGGCCGAAGCCAATAGTGCTTTCGAAAAATTAAAACAAGCATTAACGCAAGCCCGTGTTGAAATTTCCTGAAAAGGATGAGAATTTAGAAATTTCAGCGGATGCTTCGGATTATGCGGTAGGAGCGGTACTTTCGCAAAATCAGCAGCCCGTGGCATTTTTTAGCCGAACTTTAAATCAAACACAAAGAAACTATTCCGCGACCGAGAGAGAGGCACTTGCAGTTCTGTTAGCAGTGCAAAAGTTCCGAGTCTATTTTGGAAAGGCGCCAATAACAGTGTACTCTGATCATGCGGCGGTAACTAGATTGTACTCAGGGAAAAACTTATCCCCAAGGTTAATAAGATGGGCACTCAAGCTACAAGAATATAATCTGGTAATCAAGCATACCCCCGGAAAGGAAAATATCGTAGCAGATGCCCTATCCAGAATTAAAATAGATGAAGAAGGTAATACTGTAAAGGTGGCAATGCTCACAGCATGTACAATAAATTCCCGAGAAACTGTAATAACCGAACTGGGTAAGGATCCTGAGTTTGGAAGCATTTATGAGTATTTAAAGGATCCTGAAAATTTTAGCCACCAAGATATTGTGGCGATAAGAAATAGGGCGGCCCATTACGAACTAATAGATGGTCTATTATTTTATACAAAAACTACGAATTCCAACAACGAATTTCGACCTGTTATCCCAGCTAGTCTTAGATTAAATATCCTGCAGGAGCTCCATGACAGCCCTTTAGCTTCTCATGCTGGTATTCGAAAAACTATCCAACGCGTACGCGAGGCAGTCTATTTTCCTGAACTGCAAAAGTTAACAAGGGCGTATGTCCAGTCCTGCCCAACATGTCAAGCAGTTAATTATATTAATTTCCGCCCGGCCGGGTTTCTAAATAGTATTAAATCCGAATTTCCAAATGAAATAATTGGCATCGATTTATTGGGCCCTTTCCCAAAAAGTCAGTTAAATAAAAGTCGCTATCTCCTTGTTATGGTTGATCATTTTAGTAAGTGGACCGAAATTGTTCCCTTAAAACGAGCCTCCGCGAAATTAGTTACTGATTCTATTTTAAATAAATATATTTTAAAATACGGAGCGCCCCTAAAAGTTATATCGGATAATGGTCCTCAATTTGTAAGTAATGTATTTGAAGACATGTGCCAAAAACTGGGCATACGTCATTTAAAAATGGTCCCGTATCGGCCGCAATCAAATATAGCGGAACGGGTCAATAGAAATATAGTGAAAATTATCCGTAGTTATGTTAAAAAATTTTCATAAAAGCTGGGATAACTATGTCAATGAATTTGCTTTCGCCCTTAGGACCGCAAAACATGATACAACGGGCAAAACTCCTGCTGAGTTATTTTTAGGCAGAAAGATTATAACGCCGTTAGATAAATTATTTATGTGTGCAACAAAGAGCCCCAGAATTTAAAATGGGTGATATAGAAAAACTAATTAAAGAAGCAAAAAAGAATACTGAAGTAGCACAGAGAAAACAAAAGCTGTATTATGACTTGAAACGACGGGGAGTAACTTATAAAGTAGGGGATGAAGTGTTAAAAATTAAGCATTCACTTTCTTCAGCACCAGAAGATAAAACTGCCAAATTTTTTCCACGATTTGAAGGACCATATGTCATAGAAAAAAATAACTCACGCTGTAGTAGTGTTAAAAGCCAGGAATGGTGGAAACCTGCTCCGCAAACATTGATCAAATCAAACCCTACTATGATCGTAATAAAATGCAAATATTTACAAGATCTTTTGCAGGATCCGGCACGGCAGACACGGCAGGCACAAGCTCCAGAGGTGGAACAACGACAAGTACAAGGGCAAGCCATTAAGAGGCAGGAGCAAGTGAAAAGAAAGTTTCCCCGCGGGAAAATTGAAGGTAACAAGAAAAGAAAAGCCGTTCCACCGTCCAGAAAAGAGAGCTCACGAACACCCCCAGAATGAAGAAGGGAGAAGGACGACGTATGCAAAGAGAGCCAGGAGAAATGACGGCAACTATAACCCGGCTCTAAAACGGAAGATCTACTCATCCGACAGGACTCTCCGCAGCAAATGTCGCCGAACTGCGGAAGGGCCACCAGCGGCGGAGGAAAAAGTTACAAGGAAAATTTGAACGGCCAGCAACGAGGTCCAAGCAGGAACGCGAAAGAAGTTCCCGGTTCCGCCAAGACCAGCTGCCATCAAACGGCCAAGACCACAGGCAGAGGCGAAAAAGAAGGTATTCAAGGGTGACCGAACTGGAGAAAAAAAGAAAGCTTCTAGAGGAAGGCACTGAAGGGCGAGCCCGCACAAGAAGGAGGATAAATCAAACGAGAATCTGCGCTACCTTCCAGGACTGGGCTCAGAAAAGAATGTCCGAATATCACAAAGATAAGTAAAATTTTATGTTACTTTGCAAACTTAAGTTAATCTTTCATTCTTACTGCAAGTGGCAGATTTCAAGAAGTTTTACCTCATGCGAGGTCTACCTTTATCGCCAAAAGGGCGAGAAATGAGTTGTTACCGATTTTGGTATTATGTTTTTCAATTACTCGCGCGTAAAACTAAAGTTGATGTATAATAGGAATGTGTAAATACTTAAATATTGTAAAAGTTATTGTATAAATTTTATTTAAAACATTCTGGCAAGAAAGAAGTTTTAGTCTGAAAGACTTTTTGAAATGTAGTATTTCAATGTAGAAGAATTGGCACTTGCTTTGAAAAGAATAGAAGTTAACAATGTACTACTAATGTATGTTTTCAAATGCGTAAAATTAACGGCATGTTAATATGTTCTTATATACAATGTGAACTGTTATTTTAAATGTTAAGAAATACCGTGATATGGTAAAAGTGAAAGTAATGTTAAAAATTTTTTTATTCGTGTGACTGTAAAAAGACCAAATCATGGTGAATATGTGTTAAAGGTTGAATGAATGTAGTTAGGCTCTCTGACGCTACACTTCAGAGTTAGCCACTTTCAGAATAGTACCTCAGGGTTTAGAGTTGAAGTTAGGGTGTGTTACGAGGTTGGTATGTTGAATTTTTAACACGTTAGTGTTTTGATTGTAGGAGGAAGTGTTGAACACGTATACATAAACACATTCGTGTTTGGTGTTCTTTTACAACACATGTCAGAGAGCACGGGGAGAGATAATTAAAATAGTCATGAATGAAATAAGAATGTTAAGAGAAATATAATTATGCATGTTACTTGCCATTTCATTGTGTAACATTTCATTAAACTAGTTTTCCTTCCAGATCTCTGGAAGGAACCAGATTTGAATAAAAGCTCCTGTTTAGATGCAGTACAGATGAAAAATTGCGTGTCCTGGGAGCTGCTATTGTAAAAAAACAAATTTCTTTTTTTAAATTTCTAGTTTCTAGTGAGAAAATGTTTGTAAAAGATTGGCCTCGCGTTAGATTCTAGAGCTAAAAGTTTTCAACAAGGTCGTTTTAGACCTCAGTTTCAAACTAATTAACTCTGGCGGGAAGTATGTAAGGATCTTAAGTTTTACTAACGTTTTTATTTTATTTTAAATCTTTACTATCACTTCTTATTTTCTACTTCCGGCCAGAATTAAAAGCGTTAACTTATTTATGCAAAGTTTGTCTGGCGAACGCCAAGTACTTAAGTTGTGGCTTTTTTGCCAAGCGAGAGAGAGGAAGGAGTTAGTCGAAGCAGGCCGCTTGCCTTAGAAGTTTTACTCAGTTGCTGGTTGCCTTCCAGGCCAGAGGTTTAATCCTCGTGATAATTTTAAACGTATTGTAGTGTTTCAGAGTTCTCTGTCTACATACGGCTTCCTGTTAATATAAGGCCAATCTTCCACACGTTTATTCAAATTTCAGTTAAAGTAAGTTAGCGTTTAGTTATATTTTTATATTCTTACGTTTAGACCACAAGTAGTGGGTCTTTGTATTCCGAAGTACGGAAATTATTGTAAATAGAGAAAAAGAAAGGGTTTTGTATACCCTTCTTGTGTATCCTGTCTACTTCCCACAGTTATTGAAAATAGCTTTAGTAAGCTCTCTGTTCCGAGTCAGGTCCTTGCATGTTCCCGAAGAAAGTAAGACGGAATATTGAACCTGATAGCATTTTGCTATTGATTTTAATCAATTTAATTTGGTAAACAATTTAATTTATGTAGTGGATTAACTTTTATTTATGTAGTGGTTTAATTTAAAATGGTTTTAATATGTTATTTTTTTTAGTTTGATTTATAGTATTGTTTCAGTTATTTGGTTTAAGATTTGGAACTTCGATTTCGGTTGTAATTATTCTGTTTTGTAATGGTTATTGTTTAATTTTCTTAGTAATTTCGTTTAAAAGGAAGTAAATTCTTGAAAAAATGTTTATAAAAAACTTAATTATTATTTTAAACTGAATTATGCTTTCGAATTTATAGACTTAATCGCGTTGTTAACTGAGTTTTTATTTCAATTTTCTTCCCGAATTCTTGTAAAATTTACGAGTCATTAGTTTCTGACTCAGCTGGTATCTTTCGACCTTTTGGATATTGTATAATTCTGAAGAATTTTTTTTTGTAATCGGAAAATGTTAGGGAATAATTCGATAAAATAATTATTGTACATTTTAAACGGTAAGCTTTTGAGTTCTGTGATGAGAGATCTGTGAATTTTTCAGCATTTCTCCATTTTTATTTGGAAATGCTTTATCTGGTATCGGTTGCTTGAATAGCAGTTTTGAAAGGGATTTTTTGTTTTCTTTCAGAGTGAACTAACATTCAAAGGAAGGTGCAGCGATTCGGGACCCCTATACGAGGCTAGAAGTTTGTATACATTTGCCCTGAAGACACCTCTGAAAGGAAGGCGATTGTCCGGCTGAATTCCATATCCCTTGGTAGGGGCTAGCAAATGATTCCATCAGAACATCAGGACAAGATGCGTATGTGACTGCCAATTGCTTTGACTTCATCCGGGGCCCTTGCTGCAAAACCGAGATTCTCTGCGAAACTTGGTGGACCTTTAGTAGAGGGTTTGAACCAGCTAACACCGATTTCTTCTGGAGCGGATGGCGATATTTGGGATTTGCATGAGGCCTTGATATATCGTGGCTCACCAGAAGAAGAGAAGGGCCTTCGCCAAGCAGCTGTGCATGGAGGAAGAAGATTTTGCAGATAGAGAACCGTCGAGCAGTTATGGTGGTGTTTGTTTGGTAAGAAGATAGATGGCAGCGACGATATGGTTCCTGGGTAGGGACAAGGGTTCTTTGACTTCATTGTCCTAAATCCCTTGAAAGAAAATCATAATATTCAACTTCTTTTCATTTTTTCTTTTTTCAGATGCCTTTCTGGATTGCTGACCTTCCTTTAAGAAAACTTCATGAATTGTGCAATAATAGATTTACTTAGACTATGGACTGGTATGGATTTTTAGACCCAGTTAATTACGTAGTCGTCTTCTATCCGGTGTAAGCCGGCTCTTTGTGCAACAATTGATATAGATATGTATATTTAATCCTTTGAGAAATGTTTCATTCCTTTAAAACATAAAAATATTCCTAGGATAAATAGTGTAGTAATTTTCTTTCCTCTCGGTGCCAGCCGGATAGTATTTTCATATGACTATACATATAAATTTATTCTTTCAGAATACTCAATGCAAACTATGTAAAAGTCTGAAGTTATCTGAAATTTTCAAAATTCTGGTAGGTATGGCCATTCTCCCCTTACGTTATCAAGGTATATGTTTTTTTTTATTATTTTGAATGTCAGCTACTACTCTCGAAATTTTACGTATTGAAATATTTGCGCTGACTGTCACCATTATGTTTGTTATCGTAAAAAGTGGAACTGTTAACACTTACCATTCCAATAAATAGCTTTTTTTTTTTCATTTTCTTAAACTGGATTCTTTAATTTGTGATTACTTTACACATTTGTATGTTCTGTGTTATTCCACTATGCACTGGTTATTTGCTTGATATCACAACGCAAAATTTTGAAAGAAAATTATAGGTCATATTCACACACTTGAATTTCATTTGATATAATGATTGTATTATGATATAATATTTGTAAGAAATTGTAATTGTTCATGATTCATTTCAGGCAATGGTTTTATCTTGTTTTGGTGTGACCATAACAAATTAACTGAATTATTTTCTGTTATTTCACCTTATCTAAATTTGTTTATATTTAAGGCTTGTTTGTAAATAACTTTTACTGTTTTAACATAATATTGTTGCGTGCGTACGGGTTCGTAATAAACTGAATGCACAAGTCCGATGAAAAGTGAAATTTTATTTATCAGAACAAATAAATTTGTTTTATTTATTTGTTCTGATAATTATCAGAACATTATTTATTTATCAGAACAAATAAAACAAACTGCTTAAATTTCTTCAGATATTCGTGCAATAGTGCAATATCTTATAGTAGTTATCTTTTAAACTATAACGTTCAACAGAACAAATTCAAAATAGAGCAAGCTAATTCTATTTCACCGCGAATTCGCTTCAGTTAACAACAGTTTTCTAAATAAAACTGAATTGAGAGGTTTTTGATCCAGCTTTTATAAGCTTTTTAAATGTGCACGAGGATATTCGTGCCCATAATGCCTATAACATTCAACAGAACAAATTCAAAATAGAGAAAGCTAATCCGACTTCACCGCGAATTCGCTACAGTAAACAGTTTTCTAAATAAAATTGATTTGAGAGGTTTTGATCTCGCTTTTATAAGCTTTTTAAATGTTGCACGAGTATATTCTGGCATTTTCTCGATTTTTCTCGAAAAGCAAAAGCGTACAATTACGAGATATCTATTAAAATGTTAAATGCGCGTGCTCTTGTATTTTAATTTTTCCGGCGTAGCTTTCTTTCCAAATAAGTCGCGTGTGCACGCAGAAATGAAACAATTTAATAGCAGTTCTATTTAAAATAGCAAACTAAATAAAATCAATACAAAAACCGTAACAATATTTAAAACTGTTAACTCTATTCCAAATTCTTAAACAGTCCATTTAATGTTGCGTTCTGTGTACATTGCATGAAATGAGATAAAAAGAAAAAAAATTAAATTACCTACCTTACAATGGAGTTAGCGTGAAACATTCTTCCGGGAAGTGATAAAATGAGTCTGTTATTTCCTATTAACAGAAAGGCGCTAAGCCTGTTTGCTGTGAAAAGGAACTGAAAGCTATCATAAAGTAAATATTAAACACATTCAAAAGTCTAAGAATTACTCTTAACTGTTATGACACATTCAAATTTTGTTAAATATTTCTCTAAATAACATGCTTATATTGTCATGCTTTACGAAATTTTAAGCTATCTCAATTAATCACCCAGATAATTTATTGCATTTTTTCCCTGTCTCTTCAAGGGAACTTCTATTATATAATTTTTTGAGCTAGTACAAATTTTAAATTATCTCGAATCTGAATACTGGAGGTACTTGAATCTGAAATCCTGTTGCTACAACTAGTACTAACAGTATTACTACTAATACTACAACTATTACTACTACTACTACTTATTAATTCCAGTACTACAACTACTACTACTGCTGTTTGCTTCTATGAATTACTGCTACTATTACTACTATTATTATTACGACGACTGCTGCTGCTACTGATTCTATCGCTACTACTATTACTCACTCTATTTCTACTGCTAATGCTGATACTACTTTCTACTATTACAACTACAACAACTACTACTACCACTACTTAATGATGCTGCTGGCTGCTAATACTAAATACTATTACTACTATTACTAATAATAATATTAATTTATTTTAAAGCTTTTAATTAAAGCAAAATTCTAAATCTGAATTTAATGGAAAATTAGTTAAGGCCATTTCTTTCCCAAAATAAGTCCATATTTATTAAGAACTTACAAATGAATTATATTTAATGAAGTTCATAATTAACACTTTTGAATTTTTAAAGTTCACTTTGGGAAAAAAAAATTAACAGCTCCCCTTTTTGATTTTTTTTCAGAATCTTTTTAATTCAAAATCAGTATAGAGGGGAAGAGGATGATTTTAAGAATTAACAAATAGATTAATACCAAACATGGAACTTCAAAAATCTTTCCATAATATTAAGAAAACTTGAGAAGTTCCTTTTTAGAGTTCGTTAACGCGTGCTTATTTTGTCGCACTCAGGACCACAATGAGGAATAACTAGAGATCCAGACACCACTTAAATTGCAACCGTCTGTTTCTTTTTTTACTGAACGCTTTTACTGGAACTTCAGAAATCTAATCTTCTTTAAATGCTGAACTGTTTTCTAAGTGAGGATACGAAAGATTCATATGATATAAAGAATCTTCAATCTTTTTCAACACTCGAGAATTCGAAAGTCCCAACTATAGTAATTTTTCCTCTGAAAACTACTCGGCTCATTAATGGCCGAGAGTCAGAGGTTCCGCATATTGATATTGAAATTGAATAAAGGAATAAAACTTTCAAAACGATGTCAACTGATACTTTGGAGATTACATAAATGGAAATAAACCTTTCCTCAAGATTCTCTCTCGGGAGCAGCCCATTCTTGGTTATAAAGTTAATTTACATTCACTAGGCGAGCCGGGTTCCGCCCAGATTCTAACTAACAAACCAACCCTTCTCCAATATTTATTCCTCATTCAGTTTTTTTGCAGTCCATAAATTTCTGGGATTATGAAAAAAACTACTAAAAAGTGTTTTTATACGGTTTTTACTTTAAAATGAACAATAAAGTAATAAAAATGAGCAAATCAGTTAAATGAACAAGCTTAAAGTTAGCTTATCTTTTTTCCCCCCTTTCTCTCTCTTTTTTTTTTTTTTTTTTTTTTTTCTTTTTCTTTCTTTCTTTCTTTTTTTTTTGGGGGGGGGGGAAGACTAATCCGAGAGTTTCTATTTTAAGCAAAAATGAATGCACAATTTTTCAAGCACTTCACTCTATTTATCTTGTCGTCAAGTGGATAAAGGATAATGAGACTGCATCAAGGTACTTTACGTGTTCTGATTCTCTTTTTTTCTGTCCAGATTTTGAACAGTATTACCAACAGCGACAAATTAGTAATCGCAACTCTCTTTGGTAACAGCTCACATAGAAATAGGCAAATTGATATTAGTTTTGCTTAGATGCGGATTCATCTTAGAATTTATGGAAATGAAGGAGCTGATTTCTTAGCTAAAGATGCTTTAAATTTACCCATCGACATCCATTTAAGTATATCAAACAGTTATTGGAAGTCCTTTTGTTATAAGAAGCTTTAACCTAAGTGGAATGAAGTATGTATTTCCTCTTGTAATGCTGGATGCACCAAAAAATTCTTTCCTTCTACTAGCCATAACCTACTTTCCAAGCATTTCTTCTTTACTAATTTTGAAATATCCCAATTTATATCTGGTCACGGTAAATTTGCAAGTTTCTTGTTTCGTTTTCATCTAAGATCGAGAAACTTATGTGAGTGTTCAAATAAAGTACTTGAAGATGCGGACAATTTAATTTTTTCCTGTCCCACTTTAGATGGCCCTAGATTATGCCTACAAAACGATTTACGAGTAAAAAGGCTAGGTGTTACTTGGTCAGTGAACTTACTGGCTTTTGTGAAGCCTAGACTACTGTTGTATTTTTTTTTTTCGTTTTATTAGTATTAAGTATTTCCCGTGTCATTCGGCTAGAGGGCGCTGTGACGTTCCAATAGCCAGTGGCAGGCGGATACGTGTATGTTCCAATAAATTTTATTAGAAAATTTATTATTTTCGAAAGCCTCTTTGATGCATCTTTAGACACACGGAACCATTAGATGCAAAACTGAAAGAATTTGAAGTAGCTGAAGATACAGATACATTATTTGGCATCACTGCCTTTCACGTACTGCACTCTTAGAATCCAGCCTGCCACTAACTATTGGAACATACACGTATCCGCCAGCCACTGGCTATTGGAACGTCACAGCGCCCTCTAGCCGAATGGTGCGGGAAATACCTAACAATTAGTGGATGTAATACTTAATATTTTAAGTAACTGACTTTTGTAAGCAGCATATTGTATATTTAATCATATTGCACAAGGAAATCGTTTATATTCAAAAGTAAAAAAGATTATAAGAAAATGGCTGAGCGGTACAAACGCTAAAAGATGGTAACTCCACCCAAGTTCAAGTCCCGGCGTAAGGACTGGTAATGAATTTTCCCATATTAACATGGAGCTGGTTTCCCTTATAAAGCTTTCTGCGAATTTGTATCCCTTGCCTTAGGTAGAAGCCCTAGACTGCTTTGCCATAGTCAAATTGTACTGTATCACTCTTTTTAGATAGAGTAAACGAAGACTGTTGAATAAAGTTAAGTGACTCAATGTTATGTCTAGTTAATTAAACAGTAAAGGTGTAAAAGACCCTTTTATTAAGAGCTCAAATAACTGAGCATAAGGCTCTTCTGGTGCTTAAAAAACCAGCCAGCATTTACAATGTAACTAAAAAGCAGGAAATTCAAATTTAAGCTCAGTCTAAGTCTTTAAGTTAGCCGAAGGCTACACAGCAATAATTAACGCGCAAGTTGGCTTCAAATCTACAGCGGCGTGACAAGATTAAAGCAACGCCGTAGACAGAATGCTATCATAGAGTTTAAACTAGTAGCATGGTTTTTAGCAGGCGGAACACGCTCGGATTAAAACCTCCGTTTAAGTACTATATCTTTCTACCCCATTTAAATACGCGCGAGCTAAAATTTGCATTCTATCAGGAAAACGGAAAGTAAGAAAAGACAGTATATATTCCGAACGTAAAATAACTGGTTAATTTAAATAAATACCTTACTGTTATCAACTCAACCTATAGATGGCGACAGTGAGCCTTTGAACTCAACTGATTTATTTACGTTTTTTTTAGAATGTAGCTAGATGTATAAGATGTGTCTTGTCAAGTGAATTGTCCCTTGTTATAATGTGTCAATTAAAAGATTAAAAGCTAAAGAAGGAGAAGCTTTAGAAGCTTCAGAAGATCAAGAACCAGGTAAGAGGTATTATTTATATCTGTTTTGTTTCAAATTTTTGTTCATCATTTAAATATGCGCGAGCTAAAATTTGCATTCTGAAAGGAAAAAGGAAAGTAAGAAAAGACATTATATATTCTGAACATAAAATAAATGGTTAATTTAAATAAATACCTTACAAAATAATGCAACCCAATTTAAAATCCATTCACCTGACCAATTCGGGTACAACACGAAAAACAAATTGAATTCGCTTCACATAAAATTTGCTTAGCATCCTAAGTAGATATAAATGCGAGGTTTACATTTTAAAGAATGAGATCTTTTGAATGGATTTTAAAACACTATCATCGGTTTCGGACAATTTTACTCTATTCAAGGCTGTTAAAGAACAAGACTAAGATAAATTAATTCATTTGTATTCATGAATTAAGATTTGATGATAAAGATAAAAGATAAAAAAAAAAGTGTCTTGTACCTAACTTGCTGATTAAGCGAAATAATATTTTAAAACGGGAAATTAAAATTTTACATTTCTAAAAACACTCACCGCCATCAGCTTCTTCAATACCCTTTAATTGAAATTCTTTGTTTTCTCTTTTAAAAATATTTTAATCTGAAGTTATTGAACCTTTTTGAGTTTGAGAATAATATGTACGAAATAAAAGAAAATTCATGCATGAAAGACTTACTGAACTGTCACTGCCAAAATAAAAACGAATATGAATAACTATGTAATTGGAGCAATCTTTAGCAGCATCAGTGCTATGTTGTAAACGTGTGACAATGTCATTTATACCACGTTTGTAAAAATGAGAAGTGATAACGTCTTTCTCCAAGTCATTTGATGCGTCGTTGGTAAAGCATTTCTTGGGGGGGGGGGAAAAAAGGCTCAAGTGCCAGAAAAAATGGTGGTCTGTTGGGCAAATGTAAGAGGAGCATGAAGGTAATTTCGCATCTCAAATTGCTAATTTGCTATATGGATGATAATGCTATATGTGAGTGGGCGTTATCCTGATGCAGTAGGACTCCATGTCTATTCACGAATGTTGGTTGCTTAAGGCATAGTTTCTTGTGCATTTGTCACATTCTGTACAATTTCGAGCTGCACTTATCGCTTCACCTAATGAAAACAAAGAGTTGCTGAACAATACGCGCAGAAGCTCATCAGATAGTAAACAACGTCTTCTTTGGCTGCAAAGATGCCTTTGAAGTTCACTCCCAGTCCCCTGTAGCAAAGATTAATGAACAATATATACAAGAATTTACTTTAATTAACTAATTATTATGATTTGAAACTTTACTATAATCTCCTCTTTCCGTAGATTTCACTAGAATTTAAATTAGAACACTTTCGAAGGTGTATTTTATCTATGAAAGAAACAGAAAATTAGGAATTATCAAAGACAATAAACCCATGCCGAACGCGGGAATTACGTTATTAACAGATTGCGCAAAGTAACACATTGCGCCGCATACCGCAAACGTAATTGTAAGGAAACTGTCACTAAACGTTCGGGCATGATCAAGCAAAAACAACAGCAAATATGAACAAAACAAAGACTCAAAGTGTAGAATACGGTAATCATCCACAACCCCCAGAACAGGACATATAAAGTGGCACGCCCGCCTGTAATATATATAGCCATAGTCTAGGAAACACAGGTGATCATCTGGTGAGGTGTGAATCATTCTATCATCATTCTGGTCCCCTCTTATGCGTCTCCTGTAATTTGATCTACACTGTAGGAAAAAAAAAACTATATCTCCTCGTTTTCACTGAGCCGATCGACGAAAATCAACTTGCGTTTTTCATGTCTCAAGAGCTCGACTTAGGATATGTATTAGATTTATATATAGCAATGTTCTAATATAGGAAATTTCAAATTACGCCAAACTACCAGGTTTTGTAAAAATCGCACGAATAGTTTTTAAAAAATTAGTTCTCAAAATTTCAGCTCCTCAATGTTACCTGAGTTTATATATTTCTTAATCTCTCTTTTTTTATTAAACTTGTATGATTCTTCCTTTCCAGTTTCGAAATTCAGGTTCATTCCAAATAAAATTCACCCCTTTTTTGATTTATTTTTAAATATTTTTCGAAAAAAAATTTGAATTAAAATCTATAAAATTTTTACCATCTTCTTAAAGTAAACATATTTCTAAGGATACCTGTAAAAAATTAGTTTTTTATTATATGCGAGCGGTATGTGGTCTGGCATTTGTTGGAAAATGGCTTCAGGATGACGTGCCATGAAGGGTAATGCAACCGGCCGCAGGATGGTATCAACATATCGTTGAGCTGTTAAAGATCTACGGAGGATGATTAAAGATGACCTACTGTCATAAGAATAACGCCCCATACCATCGTACCAGGGGTTATCTGTATACCTTTGTAAAGCAAAGGCTGATTGGAATCGCTGGCCCCGTCCTCTCCAGACACGAACACGGTGGTCATCTGCTTCAAGAGTGAAGCGGGATTCATCACTGAACACTATACTCTGCCAGTCTGATGGCAGCCATGATGATCGGCTGCGACACCACTTCAGACGACTCCGCCGATGTTGTGGGGTCAAGGGCAAACGCCTTAAAAGCCTCTGTGAGCGTAACCCCGCCTCAGAACAAGCGCCGTGAGATGGTGATCGGTACAACGGGAGGTATAGACGTGGCTGGTAGTGCTTTGAATAGTCGACAATGATACCGTTGGGGCGGTTCGGGCCTGGCGAACAATCATCTTATCTTGCCTCGCATATGTGCTCCTTGGTCTTCCAGAGCCTTCATTTCGATGTCAATTTCCTTGTAGCAACCATTGCTGCCAACATCTTTGCACAGCAGTGTCTGTACGCTGCAATTGCTCGGTATAACGTCCCAGCTTCACGCAACCCTACAATGTGACCACGTGCGAAGTCGCCAGAGCTAATACCAGCAAGCATTAATTTTTGATGAATTCACTTGTTCCCGTGCGACTTTAATCATTTCAGTGCACTGCTTTATGTTAAATTGCTTTCAAAATGTCTTTAGTGTGGTGTGGTTTCTTTTTCTAGTACTTGCAGAGATGTAAACATGTCTAACATAACGGGCTTTGAATGCTTTTATGATTCCTTGATCTATTGGCTGGATTAAGGAAGTCGTGGAGGAATACAATTTCTACATTTGGGCCCATGTTGTGTGGGCTTAAGGACTGAATGAAATTATCAACGGCTGACATAATATATGGAGATAATTAAGAAAACGCGTATACGTAAAATCGCGTTCCGCAATTACAGAATTAAAAATCAATTCTGTATTGTCAGTTAAAATTGATTGATATCTATGCAGAAAGATTTTTTTTAATCAATTCTGTACTGTCAGTTAGAATTGATTAAAATCTATCCTGAAAGGTTTTGCAAGTTTTGCCAGAATTAGGAATCAACTTTAGAATTCAAAACTAGAAATTAAAATAATCGAATTAACAACTATTTCACATCTAAATGATATGTACGTAAATGACATTTTTTTCTGCTTTTCAATTAAATCTATGGAAAAAAATCTTTTTTATTACATTTCATAAATCTTCTCGCCAAGCACAGCGCAATTAATGAGTGACGAAAATAGATTTATTGAAAACACCAATTAATATGTTTTGTTACTCTGAGCGAGGCCAGCTTTTCTCAAAATAGACACTGTAATTCAAAATTTAACCCTGGACAAAATATAGAGGGTTCCAAATGCAGCTTAATTTGTAAAATGATGCCATTTAAAATTCTTCGATCTCAGAGTCCTTCAGTGAGGTTGAAGACTTCAGTATAAAGGCTAAACGGCCTTGTAAGCTTTGCTTGAGTAAAAAATCCTGTCTAATCCGGAACAATAGAGTAACCGGAAGATAAAAAAATGACAATTTGCTCAGATAACTATTATATCCTTAAATGATGCTTCTTTTATATGCTTGTCATGCTCATCGTGGTGCGCTAAAGTATCATTCGTTCATTATATTTAATTTAGTGCAATTGATTTACTGGCATAATTTATTATGTCATTCAGCACTTTTTATTGTGCTTCAGATACCGCTAATCAAATATGGCAATGATATTTTAATTGAATAACATTAGAACTAAAGAACAAGAATAATGTAATGTTTCATGTAACAGCTTTAAATTAACCCTTTTAAACTTATTGGTAACACTGAAATATTCTAATTATTGTTCATTGTTGGAAACTGTAATTTAATTCCTCTTAAATTTCTTGCATTAGTTTCGTTCATTATTTATTCAGCATCGAATAAAAAGCTCCAGTTACGAATATAAAATCTTTCCGTTAAAGTACAATATTTTGAAACTGAAATTATTGCTTGTAGAAATTAAGCTTCTGAAAAGTAATAAAAGTTGTTAATACTGTTCCAATAATTTGGTTCGATTAATAAGGACCACCTCCCAAACCTTTCGCTTCCTTGAAGAGATTAGTGGAGATGTGAAGTTTGAGAAATATTGTAATTATCGATATCTCATTGCAATGAAACTTTATGTTATGTAGGCTTACCAATAAAATGTCAGAGCACATTACTGAATAGCCGATTAAAAAATCGCGCGCTTTCAAGAATATTCAATGCTGCCATCTATCAGCAGACTTCAAAAACTATTTATTCTAGTAACACCCAAGCCAACAATCAGGGAACTTGTCAGTGCTGCCATCTGCTAATATATGTTTGAAGCTCAAGCTTTAACTGACATTCCATTTTGAATTTCTGGAAACCGATAATAGACAGCAGCACTAAACATTTCAAAGATAAAAGGTAAATGAACTGTAAAATTAAAATTCATTTTCACTGAAAACAATAGTTTAAATGTCAGTTCTTTATTAAACATTTAAATGACAAATAGTCAAGCCTAAAATTTAAAAAATTTTTAATTTTAATTTTAGTGACACTCTTCTTAATTTATTAAAAAAAAATTTTATTTTTAACTTAACCATTTTTCGGCAGTTCATTCAAATGAGGAAAAAAAAACTGAAATTTACGATTCTCAACAAATACTACAGTTCTAAAATTTACTGTAACTGCTGTCACTCAGTTTAGTTTTATTTAGGGATATTTCATTTTCTGAAAAATGAAATTTCTCCATTCTATGTCTTAGTAAATGATGCTGACAAAGCAACAAATTTAAAAATGATAAATAAATAAAAAAAAAGAGCGAAAACGAGGAAAAAAAAAAGGAGCAGAGGAAAGAAATTTATAAAAAAATTAATTTCTCATTTATTTTCATATTAATAATTTTAGTAATATTTCTATAAATTTATTCCATTATAAGGTAGAAATTAACAAAATAATTTTTTAATCGTTTCGCATGTTCTATTTTTAAATTTTTTTATGAAAAAATAAATAAAATTGCTTTTTAAAGTTTTTTACATTTGCAAATGTAAGGGTATGTGTAAACTGCGAGTGTGTTTTGCATACGCACATTCAGTTTACAGAAACGCTTTCACTAATTATTCATTTGCAAAAAATCGTTTTTGAAGGAAATCTCTAAAACAATTTCTTTAAATAATTTGTTACTAATTACAAAGTGATTATAGCTTTCTTAGTTTCCAAGTCAAAATAATGAAATCAAAATTTAAAAGAGTCAAATTGTCTGCATGTGGTAAAAGGTAAACAAGAAAATATTCTTCTTTCTTTCAGGAAGAAGAAACAATTGTTTTAAAAATCTGCGCTTAGTTCTATAAAAATCAATCTATAAAACTGGATTTCGGAACATTCACATCACAATTTTGATACTTCAGGGAAGGATTTCCAAAAGTTTTTACACACAATATCACATTTATAAAAATTTTATGTACCCATTAATTATTACGAATAGTCATAAATCTTAAAATTTTACGCCGTACTAATTTTCAAATTTTTAAGTAATATTTTATCATTTGTAATAGCATTACTGAAATTATGGTTTTTACTTTTATTATTAGACTTTTAATTTTCTTATTTTACACAAACTGGAAGACCCCACAGCTTTCTCCTAGTACACACATATCCAACTATTTGGGCATATAATAATGGATAAAATAAAAGAAAGTGTTCATCATTAACCTGAATTCCGAATCAGGACGAGGGTGGTCATTGTAACATCGAAGTATAGTGCTCGAAAATTTATTTTTAACAGCGTTATAGGCAATAATTTTTCAACAAGTATGAAAGTGTTTATCTTATTTGGAAAGTGAAATAGTGTTATCAAAAATTATCAAATGTGGTATCGAAGTGTGATTAATTTCTTCGGTTTCAAATTAAATGTCCAAAGTTGTTTCTGAGTTTCTTTCCAACTGCATCATTATAAATAACTTAATAATTGGTTATATTTTGAAATCTGAAAATGTAATGTTTTCTCAGAATATTGATTTTAATTAGATGAATAAGAAAAGCTAGCACTGCTTTAAGAAAATATCAAATTAAAGTGCATAAGTATTCTAAGATTTTATTCAGGGAAGATTAGTTAATTTTATTGTTATCAGTAAGTATAAATTTTGTCAAAAATTTTGAATTAATGTTAAGAATTTTAGAATTATTTTGTTAAAAAGATAAGAATTTTGGAATTATTTTGTAAATAAGATTTTTGTTTAACAATTAGAATTTAAAGAATTTTCTAATTATTTTGAGAATGATGTATGTATGAAATATGAATGAAATAATTATTAAATAGGAGTATATTAAATATTGTTAGAATTAATATAGAATTACTACAGATTTAAAAAATTGAATAATCGTAATACAATTTATGTGCGAATTTAATTAAGAGTAAAATGTACTAAAATTGGTTTGAGTTATGGTAAATGAATGTTATAATTATCAGTAATTGTATGTTAAATATAAAGTATGTTGGGGGAGTACTCGTTCAGAAACAGAGGCCTGTTTTACCTTTGCATAATTGTCTTTTTGCCCTCCTCACATAATATAAATTTTGAAGGCTCTCACTACATTTAATTTTTTTTATATAGAAATTTTATTTTTTTAATATAATGGAGTGTGATTTTTTTATTATAATGGAATTTTGTAGTGCAGTTCACAAAGGCCAGTTACCTTAAGAAACGGATGCCTTTCCAAGTAACTGCCGAGTAGTCCTTGAGTTCGTTAAAGTGGATATGCCTAAATAGCTGGATATGTGTGTACTAGGAGAAAGCTGTGGGGTCTTCCAGTTTGTGTAAAATAAGAAAATAGTAAAATATAATAATACAAGTAAAAAAACATAATTTCAATAATGCTGTTGCAAATGATAAAATATTACTTATAAATGTGAAAATTAGTATGGCGTAAAATTTTAAGATATAATAATTAATGGGTATATAAAATTCTTATAAGTAAGGTATAGTAAAATTGCAGTAGAAAAAGAAATTAATATAAAGATTCCATGGAAAAAGGCTGATGTTTCGAACGGTGTGAGATTTATGAAGAGAAGGTGGTCTGTTGATAAAAATAGTTGCCAGAAAGTATGTTCAGAATCGAATTAAATGTTAATTACAAAATATATTCTAGTAAACTCATCCTGATTAAGCCAGTTCTAGTAAACTCATCCTCATTAAGCCAGTTCTAGTAAACTCATCCTGATTAAGCCTTCTCACGTTTTAAGGTAATGCGATCATTCATTATTAGATTAAAGTTTGAATCTGATAATTAATTAATCTTGGTAATTCATAAAGGTTACAAAATCTGTTCTGATCTGGAAGAACTGAAATTTTAAGTTTGCTGTGAAAGGCTATAAGTCTGTTGAGAATCGAGACTTCGTTAGAAGTAGTATTCTGGTAAGTAATTATCTGATTAAGTTCTGTTTCAGTTATTTGGCTATAAAATTGTTTTCAAATAATAGTGAAGTTATTGCTAGGTTTATCTATTTGGTAATTGTAAATTTCTGTTTCAGCTCGTCTATTTTAATCTAGTTCATTCCACCCGATGTTTCCTTTAATTATGTTATGTTTTTAATGTTGTTTTTATTGACTTTATTGTTTTCAATTTCTATTGCGCGAATTTTCTATTTCTCTAAATAGAGAAATTATTGTTGTTTCACTTAATAATTTCAAGAAAAAATACTTAAATGATCCAAAGCTCGAATGCACAACTACGTCAAGAACAGTGACGTATCATTTTTATTAAGTAAGTGCAAATGTCTCCACTGAGCGTTAATATAATATTATAGTAAGCTTTGTTTTTTATAATGTTTGGTATTGTTAGTTTGTACAACTTATTTTAGGTTAGTGGGAATTTCTAAGAATTCTTTCAAACTAGTTGGCCTATGGTTCAAAACTTTTAAAACTATTTTCTGTGTTAAACTGGAATCAAAATAGAAAAACAAATTGCAAGCTTTAAAATGTTTTTATGATTTTTATATATTTTAACGTTTAATGCTTCAAATTTGAAAGGTAAGAATCTTTGAGGTATTGTAAGAATTCATAATATGAAGTTTTGAGACTAATTAATCAATTTCAGATTAATCAACTATTATTTATAAGATTCAGATTAATCAACTATTATTTATCATTCAAATATTATTTTAAATTAATCAGTTACTATTTATCATTCAAATATTATTTCAGATTAATCAATCAACTATCAGAGTAAACAAATATTTCTAAAGTTTAAAAAAAAAATTAGAAATAGTTTTTTTATTAAAAATTTTACAAAGCAGATTACTTTTCTTCTCATAGCAAAATTGGTAGAGTACTTGTTGTTATATTCATGAGTACTGAAGCAGTATCTAACATGTACTGCTCTATTTTTCATTGGTTGGAAACGCGGTCATTAGAATGTTAATAGAAATAGCAGTTAGAGGAGAAATAATTCAATTTCATTCACTCTAAAAACACCTTTATTCGGCAAGCCGTCTAACAAAACAGTACAATGGAAGCCGATATGTACAAAGTAAAATTACACATTTCAATCAAAAACGACACATGGCACATTTGAAACGCCGTCATGAAATGAGCTGTGATAGGGTTTTCGATGAATTTAGGTGGAACATTAAAAATAAAAGCATTCATTTAGGATCTCTCTACAAATAACCACTACTCATTTGTAAAAATATTCCAAAAATTGGAGGTGATAAGTCAAATCTTCTTTGGTCGGCACCAAGTGTAGCTAGTCACCGGTTACACTACAAACTTAAATAAAGTAAATAAATTTCATAAAATATTAACAGACATTATCTCTCTATTTATTCTTCATTCTAATTCACAAAATCACATAAATAATTTCACTGTACATTTTTACAAAAGAGCATCCAGGCGCTGCATTTTTTTCATTGCCCTGCGCATAGATGAAGAAATATATATTATTTAGAATTTAAAAATATATATGTATCAAAATATTTGAATAAATGAATGCGGAACAATAAAATCTTTTTTAGGACCCAACAAAGAAACTAATCTAATATCTCACAAATTTGATAAATGCTTCAAAAGTTGTCGGCAAGAGGATAAAAAGGGTACTTGCATATTAGCGCAACTACCTTACTAGAAATCGCCAAAATTTCAGAATAAGCCCAATTCTGGCAAACTTGCGTAAGATACTTTAGTTTTAATAAGCAGCGTCTTCATTTTCGTATACTTTTTTTTCATTCGAAGCGTTTTTTTTTTTTTTTTTTTTTTTTTTTTGTGTGTTTAATATGCAAATTCTTTAAATTCGATTTTAAAGTATACATTTGTGAGATTTGCCTGAAATGGATAAAACTAATGTTAAATTTCTTCATGAATATCGTATTTTCCTGCAAAATCGTAGAAGGAAACAGTTACTTTAAATCTCTTTTTAAAGCGATCGCCACGAAATTTCCTTTAGAATAAAAGAAACAAAAATCTACTTGTAAATAGGCTTTTAATTGGTTTGGGGATAAATACCTAATCAAAACGTAAGTTCTGAATGTAATATATAATAATTCTTTTTTAAATTACTAGTCTTTACTCTTCTGTAAAAAATCACCAAACTGCGCCAACGTAATTGCGCTAATATGTAAGTACCAAAAAAATTAAATATTTTGTTGAATTTCAGATTGTAGCACCAGCAGTCTTCGGAAGTCGAGTTCTTTGGAACTCATAAGGCACAATGCTAAAATTCTTCAAAAGTATTAAAAAATATCAAAGTTTAGTAACATAAGAACAGCTTAGCATTCTCTTAATTACTTCCATCTCATACAAGTGGATTTATAAATTTCCCGTATCTTGAGTTTTGAATTAACAATGAAGTATGCAGTATTGATAGAGAAATAATTATTCATCTGTTATTATTAGATCAGATTTGCAGAAAATGCTGTACGTCTGCAAAACAGAATTATCCTGTATTAACAATCTTCATATAATACTTATTATAATGGCTCAAGCATAAAACGACCTCACGTATTAGATGACCACGCATTTTTAGGGGAAACTATGGTTGGCATATTATGTAGCAATACTTTAATACGTTTGAAGAGAAGATTAAATGACATTATATATATATACATCACAATCAAGTTGAAGAAACTGATAAATTGAACTTGATTTTTTGATGGCAGGGTACGTTCATGTGGTTTTCAGAAAAACACATTATTTGGGGAGGGGGTACTGCTTATATTGGCACCAAAATGGGCTTTGAGATTTTAATGTTTACTCTCAAAGAAATGAGATTTAAACCAATCAATGGAAAAAATCAAAAGCTGAATGATAAAATTACACATAGAACCTTAATATTTATATATACCTTAATAATATTTAATATTACCTTAATATTTATATATACCTTAATATTTGTAATACTAAATGTATTAGTCTATTGAATATTTTTGCAAGAGTAATAAATCTTAATCATTTTACGAAGTTCCATTTAGTGCAAAAGGTTGTATTGTATCTATTTTTAAACTGTTTTGACTAAGCAAGCATTATAAAAATCACTTATCGAGAGAAATTTGCTGTAATTATACACGAAATATGGCAACATTTGAATGGTTGCGGCAGAAAGCGACCAATTTACTGTCTTGAAAATGAGAGAAAGGTTTTCAAATCTTAGTTTCAAGAGTATAAAGAAAATTTCAATAAAGGTTCATAGCTAGGTGTTTATACGAACGAAAAACTAAAATTATGAAGAATGTACAGAAATGAAAAATACATATTATCAAAATGATGTTTTTTAATTTCTATAAATATCTCTTTCCAGACAATCAAAGAAACTAAATTCCACCAGGACAAAACCATGAGCTGCACGTCAACATCCGCCAGGAAATTTCTAAATAATATGGAAAAGTAGATTAACATCCTCATGCAGCACCACTGGATTACTACGCTTTTGGACGGTTAAAAATGGCACATTCTATTAGTGGAATAGAATACCAGAGAAAAATTATAATACATATTTTTAATGTAAAGATAATTGATAAAATAAAAATAATTAATAGAACTTAAAATTTTCCAATAGATGGATCTTTCTGAGAGACGTAAAATAATAATTAATTTCATACATTAAAAGTTAGTTAAATGGAAATCTATTCTATGAAGAAAAATTTACCAAGCAAAAATTCAAAAAAAAAAAAAAAAAAAAAAAATAAAATAAAATAAAATTAATAATTATATCATTAAAGTTATTTGTAAATTATTCATAATGAAGTACAACTTGTTTCAGATATGAAAACGAACTTCGCACGGATAATTTTTACCTTGCCATCTCAGATTTTCATTGCTAAACTGAAGTTTGCTACATATTCTAGTCAATAATTTTATGTCGTTAACAAAAATTTAGGTGCATCAACATTAAACATAAAATATAATAAAGCTCTTGTTAACTTCCATAATTTTATATATAAACATAAAAAGTTACAAAATGCACCGTTTTTAAAGGATTTAGAAAGCATGGAATTGAGCCGTTTTTATAGGAAACTCAATTATAAATGTTTTTTCTTTAATAATGCTCTTTTTTTAGACAATTTCGTTTCACAATTTACAGCTCTAACGACTTATAATTTTAAGTTTTGTTTAGTTTTGTTAGTTTAAAAGTTTATATAAATTTTGTGTATATTTTTTGCAAGTGTTTATAAATTTGAAAAAAAAATCACGAAGGATGTCAATCTTTAATATGTTTGATTAATAGCATGATACTAATATTCAAACAGAAAAATATGTTTTTTCAGATTCATAATTTTATCCGGAATAATAAAAATGTACTCTATATGTATGCATGTAAATACTTTTGTCTAAATTTTTCATGTTTAAAAGTCTGACACATAACTTTAAAGAAAAAAAAAATTAATTATATAATTTTTCTGTAATTCAGCTGTACGGGATTTCCATTATATAGTTTATAAAAGAAAAGTCTCCATTCAACATTATAAAAATATGTACTAAAGTATATTTAAAGGGTAAAGCTGTGCAATATTATGCAATTTATTTTTTCAGGATAATTCTGTTTTTGTTACTACAAAAAAAATTAGTTAAATTTCTGTTGTTAATAATATTGTAATTTTTTTTACATTTCGTAGATTGTCAAGATATGTTTTAAGTAATGAAAAAATATTAATTCAGTTTTTCTTATATTGAAATTTAAGAATAGAATAAAACAGGAAAAATGGAATATTTTTCATAAAGCATTATTTTTCAGGCTTTCCCCCCAAAAAAATTTTAATCCTGATACAAGGGAAGAGAAGAAGATATTTCATATACTTGTGATTTCTATTATACAGCCTTAGCTTATATCACTTCAAATGTGAACAGCCAAAAATGAGTTATTCATTGAACTGTATTGCTAAATGCTGAAATATTTCTCAGAAAGTTATAAATTTTGCATTTTTACCGGAAAGGCTGATTATTTCAAAACTATTTTAATAAAACAATTCGTAATAACAAAACTGTAGATAATACTACATTATCATACAGCTGCAATGTTTTCAAGTTTTTTAGTAGCAACTCTTATCATATTCAAGAAATAACTTCTGAAGCATTAACTGTTTTTACATCTATTTAAATGTACATTAATAGATAAATTTTCTAAGCTCATATTCTCTTGAATGTTGGTTATTTTGTTCGGCACGTTTATAAACGCCATATATAATAGTAAGGAATTCTAAATAAAACAAAAATTATTTCTTTAGAAGCATTTTTAAAACATTAAAAACATTTGAAACTTCAAGAAAAACTTTGGGTTATACAGTATCTGAAGGGGGAAAATGCTCTAACAGAAATTTTAGCATAAGTGTTTTTTCCTAAATTAGATTTTACAGTAGCAAATGGATTAAAAAACTTTTATTCAGGAAAATCTATGCATAGACATCTTCAATTTTGACTTACGAACAAATGTTTTATGTAAACATACCTGTCATCTTTGACTTAATAAAAATCAATATTTTTTTTTAAAAAAAGAGCAAATTATTGAATTAAATAAATATTTGAAAATTTTTTGAAACAATTACACGGATAAAAACTTATCAGGAGAAATTGCACGAATGAAATAAATTTTAACATAATTACAGCATCTAAAATGTCCATTCGCTGAAAAGTAATTTACATGTGTAATTTGGAAACTGTTCTGTATAACATATATTATTTTCTTTAAATTTCAGAAAGGGTAAATTCAGAAATCGTCAAAATATCATAAAAACATTTTGAACGTGGCCAGGAGAAAATAATAATAAAATTATGCAGTTTTTCTAAACAATCTAATTTTGATGTATTACCTTTAACTTAATGATATCGTAAATATATTATTGCATTTTTTAAAAAAAGATCGTCATAAAATTCGAAAATCACCGGATGAAATTTTTGTAGACAAATTAATTTTAAACACGCCAAAATAGTAATAAATCGATTTAGAAATATGTAACAGGAGTATTCATATTTGAATAAAGGAAGAAATTGTTTTTGATTTGCTAAAGAAAATTTCAAACAATACCCAAAATGGCTGCCAAGAATATGCATTTTAAATGCAAGATTAAGTTTACAAGTCATCTGTTTGGCACAACTATTGACGCCTTCACAAAATAAAAGCAAAATTTGTAAGGAAACAGAATTTTTGATCGTAAAACTAGTCAAAGTTTTGTTAAAATTACGAAAATTCCGCAGAAATTGGGAGATATGTTTAGACTTCAGTTGACGGTAAAAAACACTTTGAAACTGTGCTTTTGAATCATGACATTAAAACCAGAACTTAATAAAAAACATTCTGATTATAAAATGAGCTTCTTGAATTACAAGATAGATGGTGGCGGAAAATAATAACTCTTATTTTAAGCATGTATTTACAATACTTCATGTATTGCATTTTTACAAGAAAGGCTTCTTTTTCATTTTATGATATTCGTTTTCTAACAATACTCATTTTTAGACACTTTTGAGAGAAAGGCATAAGGAAATATTCTCAGATCTCTTAGAATGGTCACATTTGTAGGAGAAGCATGTTTGAGAGGTGGCCAGAATTCATTTTAACACATATCAAACGCGTAGCAGATGGTAAAGAACTTTATATAATAGGCCCTTTTTTCATTTCTACGAAAGCTGTTTTAAGATATTTAACTCTTTTTACATTACAGTAGTTGATTTTTAATGACGGTTTCTTCTCTTTCGAATAAAATAAAGAAGAAACAGCTTGTCTCATTATCTAACATCGTCATTTCAAAATTACAACATATCCTCAAATAACGGAAGCATTTTGTTATAAGAGGTTCAGAACACACTCTGCATTTCTGTTGTTCAAAGTACAAAAATTTTTGTAAAACAGACATTTCTTCAAACTAAGGAGATGTCCTCAGTTAACAAACAGCACTTTTTGAAGTAGGAGACATTGGCATTCATCGTATATTTTTAATTTTCTACAGTTATCATTCAAAATCGCATAATATGTGTTACAGTTTAAAACTGCTTTTATGATATCATCTAAAACATCAAAACATATGTCAGGCAACATAAAAGAAAATATATTGGTTTTACGATAATTTTCATTTGCTTTGATCATTTCAGCTATAGTTCATTTCAGTTTGTTCATTTCAGTTATAGTTCTGAGTCAATGAACTCAGTAACTTTAATTACAGTTAAGAAAGGGATGATTTACTGAGTTCATGAAGACTTAAGTTAAAAAACACTTAAGTTACCTAAATTGCTTTGAATTAAAACAAGATCTCAAGCAGATCTTCTAACAGTAGCCATCCGAGCTACAAACGGAAAATGTATGCGCCGAAAAAAAAAAAAAAAAGAAAAAAAAAAGAAAAGAAAATATCTTTGTGTTAGTTGAAAGTACTGAAAAATTTGTGAGGACACCTCCCATTCATTTCACAGTAAATAAAAAAGAAAAAAAGCTCTATTGGTCCTCAAGCTCCTAAATAATGCAAACCACATTTAAAAATACAAACATTTTGGGCGGCAAAATTTAGGAGGGAATCTTTGCTGGTCCAGTCCTCAGTTGGTAATGAATATTTTTTGTCTATGAATTCCACATACAATTTCGTATATGTACAATTTAAGGATTCACTTAGGGCTGATAACTTAAACGCACTCGGAGAAAAACAAATACTCAGAAGCATTTGAATTCACAAATTCCAATGTCATCATTGGGAAGATTACAGTCATCTTAAGTCCATTCACACTCTTGCACAGCTTCTGTTTCTTAACAACGCAGCGGACACATCAAACAGTAAACAACTGCAAGGGGATGGCAAAAATAAGACATAACAAGGTCGCAGTATGGCAAATGGTAAGCATTAAAACGCCTAAACAGAAATGAAAAGTTTTTAGTTGTCAACAACAGAAGCATCTTTGACTGCAATGTAGGGGCGCAAGTCTCATCTCTCTGCCATAGCCGTCTTATTTCGTACAGCTTCAACGGAAATTCAATTCTTTAAATAAAAGCACATAATGGATCACCATCGAACATCTTATGCGGCAAAGTCTGTTTTGTCACCCCACGGCAAGAAGTTCAAGTCATGCTGTGGTTTAAAATCCATATCGTCGCTGGAGAACAATTCTAACGTGTCATGTCCATTCGAAAAGAGGGGATCGTGATCGTTCGAAATACCGTAAGAAGTTGGATGCTGGAAACTGTTCGAAGTGGAAGAACCAGCAGATGTTTCTTCCAATACTCCTAGCCATTCGATTAAATCCATGTCCATACCTGATGAGAGAGAAAAAATTATATTATTATTTAAATAATGCCAGTCATTAAATATTATTGTTACGGCTGAAAAAGGTTTCTTTGGGAAAATATTAGGATATAAAATATATTTGTAGGAAGGAATTATCTCACATACCAGTAACGTAGGTTGACGCGTATTATATCTACCAATTTAAGTAACAACAGAATGATAGTGAGTGAATGCTCATAGTAACTTTGCAATTCTGAAATAACTCTATACACATAGGTATTTATTGTAATGTGTAATACGAATCTTGAAGATACTTTTCTTCTTCTGCGTGGATACACTGTTCGAGGCGATGTCTTCGATGACACGTCCCAACATATCCTGTGGAATGGTTTCAGAGTGGTTACCTGATTCCTAGCTCTCCATGGATGTAGGTACGCTACACTTTTGCATTTTCGTTCTGTCAGTATTGTTACCTCAAACTGCTAGATACAGTACGCGTCATTCTATAGCATTAAGATGTGTAGTAATTTTGTAGCGCGAAAAAAAAAATTAATTTGCTGGTTGATAGACGGGTAAGTTAGATAGTATTGTGGCCAAGATTTTATGCTAACGATTTCGCAAATTGCCGTGAAAGCTTCGATGTGCACAAATGATTTTGGTAAAAATTCGCTGCTTAAGAGTACACTTAAAAAACTTTACATTTGTGGTTATGCGCACTGCTAACATTTCCTACTAGCTTATTACCAGATACGAAGAAAAAATATAACTAACTGGCACATATCTGAATATGATTTATTATGCATGTTTTAAAATTGATTCTTACATTTAGAATCCAATCAAATTCTGGTAATGTTATGATGCCATTGCATAAGATTCCTACGTAAACGGACGGTTGATTGATGAGGACTTAAAATGAACCAATTAGTTATCTAACAGCTTGGGCGCATCTCCCTTAGGCTGGGGATTCCTTCATGGAAGACTTTTTAAGGAGAATTGGATAGTATTCAAGACCAAAACGTCCATGCAAACATCAAGTTTTCTGGAACTTAAATGGACGTTCTTTTGACTTAGAATATTGTACCTGGATATATTTTCGTCGTTAATACTGTTTCTAAAAACTCCTTTTAAATGCACTATATTTTTAAGTAATAGAAAAGAACCTTGGGAACTATTAAGTATTTTAAGTGCGAAAAATAATAATTATAACAAAAATTAGATAGTAGGAAAATATCTGAAATTTGGTACTCAAGGAAACTTTGGAAATTCCCGAAAATGATCGTGCAAATTCGGGTGGCGATAAAATTACTACCTATGCAACATTATCATAAAATACCTTTAGTACCAGAAACATAAAAATATGCAAAAGTTAAATACCACATATACATAAAATAAAGCATAGATACATAATATATGGCTAAAGTAAGCATATAAAGCATATATATATATATATATATATATATATATATATAATGAAAACACAATTTTAGAAGCACTGATGTAAGAACACTGAGATGTAGATGCGTAGAAATCCTGATTACGAAGATACTCGATACTTGAAACATAGAATTCGTAAAGACTAAGAACTTGGCAGTTGAGGCGGTTTTAATTATATTTTTATTTAAATTCACATTTGTGGCCATAGTTCACTTGGCATCCTAATCGTGCCTATTTCCAGAACAACTTTGATACTATAGTAATAGAAACAAACATAGATGATTGCAGCAGCGTTTTAACAGGATGAAAGCATAAGCGAAAAGGGAAGAGTGTCGCAGTACTGTAAAGGAAGAAGGGAGGGAGTCAAAAGTTTCAGTTCCGAGTTAGAAAAGGTTTTGGTTTACAATTATTTGATTGGGCAAGCAGAATTATTAAATTGGAATTTAATTACTTACAGATAGTTATTGTTTAATTTTCTTTTATATTTCATATTTGTAATTTTGTTTTCATGTGTATAGTATTTGTTTTCATGCTTATAATTATAATTTTAATATTTCGCATGTTTCATTTATTTCTATTACTGTGATATTCTTTATATTAATACATATTAATAATTAGTATGTTAAGTACGCAGCTTCAAAAATTAAGGTCATTTTATTAAACTGCTGATTTTATATGAATGTTTTTGTAAAAGTAGGCTTAACTGCCGAAAGTGCGCGGGCCGGTGGCGGCGTTCCATTTCAGGGCTTCCGTCCCGTGGCTGCGCTTCGTTTTCCGCGCGCTGGTCCTCAAGGGGTTAAACTCGGATTTTCTTACATTTTTGCTCAAAGTATAACTAATCTATTAATAATTTGCTTGCACGAGAAATATTTTCTTTTCCTTTAAAGTTTAAAGAAATTTAAAACGATATTCGTTTTATGAAATCTTGATCAACGTGACCTTCGAACTTCGACGCCGGCTTCGAGCTTTGGTAAAAGGTATTTCGAGCTGTTTCCCTCTACTTTGGGATGGAGCCACTCCTGTTGCGGAGAACTTTTCATTCTTAACAATACATATTCTTTGGCTTGGCATTCATGTAATAATGGTTAATGGAAAAAAGAGGAAGTATCATAAAAAGACGTGCATTACCTCGATCAGTGACTCTGTCATGAACATCTGACATCTCGCTCGACCGTAACAAATGGCTCGACACAGAAGTCGATTGGTTTGCCACAAAATCTACACAGGCTTTAGATTCCTTTGCCAGAGCTATGGGCAACGTCGGATCTGAATTGGAGGAAACATGATGACTTTCATCTAACGTGTCGAATTCCATCGCTTCAATGTCACCCATATCCAAATGAAAATCGAAGTCTAAAGAAGAAGTTGGTGCACAACTTGTGTCTCCGAAACCCGCCGACGAGGGCGGAGTCATATCCAGAACAGATTGTAGAGACGCTAAATGAAGATCCGGAGTATTTGTCGGCAGATCCGTCCCTGCAGTAGATGTCACCATCGTAGTCGATAGCAGTGAGGTAGTAGTGATTGGTTTGGAAAACAGAGTATCACTGGAATTTGAAACTGAAAATATTCCAATGGTCGATTGTTCGCTCTTGCCGGTGATGGGCGTCACAGGGGTTGTAGGCTCTTGAGCAGCACTCGGTGGCAACTCTGAAAACACAAGACACTTTTGTTAAGTAAATGGTTGGAAAAACAGATAATTCAATCTCATAGCAAAATAAATAATTTTTAACCCTGAGCCCCACTCAGATTTTCAGGCACTTGTCTCTCTCCGACAGCGGAATAATCTTGTATTTTTTTTTTTTTTTTTAAATACATTCAACAGAGTTACTGGCTACTGGATCAAAGTCACTGTAGAGATGGTCGTTAGTTCTGTAAGGTAAGCCACATAACAGTTGTATTAGTGAGTTTACTAGACCCAAATGATGCAGATGTTTTTGCACATAGTTATGGCCAATTATGAGATGAAATTTTGCTACACCTATAGCTCTGAAAAGGGGTTACGGGGAAACAAAGTTTTCAATAACGAATCCCAGGACTTGTCCTCAGCCATTTCGTCAAAGAAGTTTCAGAGACATAGACTGATGCTAGATTTAGTAAGCTATTGACAATAGAAAAATCAACAACAGAATGAAAATGAGAACTTAATTTTATGATTTATGAAAATGAATGAAAAATTTCATTTCAGAATTTCAGAGAAGTTTTCTGTTTCCGATAGAAGCGTCGTATCTCGAAATATTACTACAAATTTGTTTTAATATATTTTTCACATTATTAATCGCAGTGTTGAAGCTTAGGTTTTTATTAATTGGAGCAGTGTTCAAGTTTTATGGATCAAAGTATTGAAGATTTTATGCGCTAACCTTTTTCCGACGTTAACCATAAATACCTACACAAGTATATTAATTAATAAAAATTTTAACCTCGCACTGAAAGTTTCTTCAGTGTCTTTCGTCATTTACAACATTATCATCAATAGTCAACAACTACAGTTACTTCAAAGCTATTCTTTTCCCCCAAACAATAACGTGTTGAGGAAAATTTGAGACCGCATTGTAAGAAAATAACATCGGCTTACATTCAAACAAGTAAAGGTATAAACTCTGTATTTCGCAAACAAAACGTATCATAAATCTCAAACTTCTTACTTAGAAACATTACTAAATTATAAGTAACTGGAAAATAAATCATTTACCTCCATTTTTTATTAGTATTTCCAGAACATCATCAACAGCTTGGCTTTTTACGGACGACTTTTGTTTCTTGGCTTGACGTGGGTTACTGTCCTCATTGCCAATTGTTAGATGATGCTGGTAGAAAAAAACACATGAAGAGATTTCAGTAAAGATGATAAAATTTAAGCGTTCAAGTACCATTAAATAATTAAGAAAATATACATTTTTTATGCATTTCTATGAAAATTCGATTTATTACAAGCATTTTAAAACAAAGCTCCATGTAAAACTTTCTTCTACGACAGTGGTTCTCGACCTGTTTCAGCTCATAATCCCTTTCACCATTCTTAAATGATCATTACTTCCCTCCTTCTTAAAATTCTATATATATATATATATATATATATATATATATATATATATATTTAGATTCAGATGATTTCTAACATGTTTTATATGTTAAAGAACAAAAAATGTAGAAAATGTTGATAAATAGCAAAACTTAAGCAAAAGTAGTTTTTTATTTTCAGAAACTAAAACTAAACACTTAACCGTTAAATAAAAAAACTGACCAAATTTCCTCTTCTTGAAACTATGAAATTCCTTCCTAGGGAGAACTCCCCCCCCCCCTTGGTTGTGAGCCCCTACTCCAGAATTAAAATTATGAAAAAAGAAAAATAGTTCCAGATCTTTGCCATTAAAAGTATGAGATAGTTTTTCGCATTTGCATTTCAGCAAATTCCCTTGAACTATACATAAAATATTTCGGTGCTAAATTTTATACAAATATATAATAATTCATGATAAAAAAGTTATTTGTCTTTATGTTTATTAATTTTAAGAAAATGTGCTTACAAGTTTCCTTTATTTTCAATTAAAGTTTTATAAAAAAGTGATTATCCAGCTTGCGGGCAGACTTTTCTAAACTAACGGGTTAACATTTTAAAAAAATTCGATTAATTGTACACTGCATCTCTATGAAAAAGCCAATTATGCAGCTTCAGTTGTAAGAACATTTCGAACTGTAATTAAATCTAAAATCGAATCTACACTTTTAATTTTTTGAATTAAAATGATGGTGATTATGCATACGTTATTATTTAAATATATAATTACGCATACTTACAAATTTTAATATATATTTTTTATTTCCTTTATTAATACTAAGAAAATAAGGTGCATTAGCAGATTTGAAGGTAATTATAGTGTTTCTGCTTCATAGAATTATAATGTTTCTGCTCATGCGCAGGATTTCTTTGAAACCATTCGTCAAGATTTCAGGAAATTCTGACCAATTGCATAACTCCAGTATAAAAGAAATATGACCAGCTGCTATGCTTCTCCACAAAAAAGCAGTAGAAATTACGTTTAATTTTATATTAAAAAATAATCGATTTGGGGAGCTCACAAAAACTAAAAAGAAATTTAGGAAAATATAATTCATTTGTTTTAAAGTTGGCAATTTTAATTACACACGATTTTTCTAATTTAGGGGAAAAAACTAAAAATAGTGAATTATTTATCTATAATGATGCATTTACTATATATTTCCATTTTACGCCGATGACGAAAAGGCATATTTTATTGTTTCTTAATCTTTAACAGTTTTATAACTGAAACATGCAATAAAATCAGCAAATACAATGTATGAAAATAAAAAATACAAAATATCACGATCATAAAGTCAGTCATTTATAACGACAAACTTAAAAATGCTTTAAATGTTTGACATATTTTGACGCTTTAAAAGTATCTAACCTCTTAATCATCATGTGTTACAAACGAACTGAAATCAAAACGTTACAGACATTAGCAACAAGAACTCTCCTTTTCTTTCCTATCGCATTCGCACCTGAAATGGGTATTTTTTATCCTTCGAAATTATAGAACACACAGTTACGCTAATTATTTTATTTTTTCTTACCTGTTTAACTTCATTAAGTTGCCTTGTTGCTTCATCGTAATTCGGTGGCGGTCTTTCTATGATGAATTGCGGGTCAGTATTACTTCGTGCAGGGTGAGGTTTATTCGATACCAAGGCTGAGAAGTTCGGCAGGGAAGAGGATCTAAGGTGAGTATGCAAATATATTAGATTTCACTCTTTGTATACAAACATGCAACGAATGCTACGAAAACAGTCTTATTAAACATTTTCATATGTGATGTGTTATAAAAATCTAGAAATATAACAGAAAAGATACATTAGGCTTTGAAAATATAATTTTATCCTTGACACATTTTTTTTTTCCATTTTTATAATAAAATGTTCACACTTACACACCTTTATTTCTTCTAAGCCTATTTTAAAATTCGATTTTTGTGTATCTTAGTAAAACTTACCGTGTGAACAAGGCTGTTGTAACTTAAAATTCTCGCTTGATTCATTTCTCAAGAACAAATCGTAGGCTTACTACTAATCTTTTAAGATATATTTAATCATGCAATATTTTGGAAACATCCAGTATAAATTTTACAGAGCATACTATTAAATATACTTTTATATTTTTGATATTAAAGGCAGCACGTTAAACTGCATAAGCTTTTCAGATTCATTAAAAGGGAATATGACTTAAAAATAAGGAATAATGTTTTTTAAATTTTCGAGGTAATGCAGTCATTGTTTCATGAGTATTCAATTATAATCTCCAGTAATGATCATAGAAATTCTCACTTACAACACTCACATTTTGAATGTAGGAATAAAACAAAAGCTTCAAATCAGCCTGATTCGCTTTATGAATATATAGACATGCGTTATATTGTAAGGATCTTAAGTTTTACTAACGTTTATTTTATTTTAAATCTTTACTATCACTTCTTATTTTCTACTTCCGGCCAGAATTATAAGCGTGAAGGAGTTTATGCAAAGTTGTCTGGCGAACGCCAAGTATTTAAGTTGTGGCCTTTTTGCCAAGCAGAGAGAGAGGAAGCAGTGAGTTCGAAGCAGGCCGCTTACCTTAGAAGTTACGCAGTTGCTACTTTGCCTTCCAGGCCAGAGGTTTTAATCCTCTTGATAAATTAAAAACGTATTGTAGTGTTCACAGTCTCTGTGTGCTACATACGCTTCCTGTTATTATAAGGCCAATCTTCCATTCTAAAGTTAAATTAGAGTTTAGTTTTATTTTTATATCTTTTACGTTAGACCCCGAGTGGAGGGTCATTGTATTCCGAAGTACGGAAGTCATTGTATATAAAGAAAAAAATAAAGGGTTTTGTATACCCTTCGTCTGTATCCTGTCTACTTACTACAATTAGTGAACATAGCTTTAGTAAGCTCTCTGTTCCGAGTCAGGTCCTTGTATGTTTCCCGAAGAAGGTTAGAAGAAACATTGAACCTGATAGTGGCGCCCGAACGAAGAATAACCATGGCCGAGTTTCAAGAAGAACCTGTGCTGCCTGCAGAAACGGCTCAGAATCCAGAAATGCCAGCTGCCGCCCTGGAAGGATTTGGGTTACATCGTCCAGACCATGCGCGCTTCGATGAAACCAGAAGCAACGTTTAATGGAAACTCACCGGTAACCAGTTTTTTTGGAAAAATTGGATGACCACTTCATGCTCTACCCCGTGCACGAGTTTCAAAAAGTTACCTTAGCTACCAGCGCTTTGAGGGGCCAAGCGCTTAACTGGTTCAAATGTATCGGCAGAAGTCTCTTGGGTCAAGCAGGAAGTCCCACCTATACTTACGAAAATTTCAAGACTGCCCTACTAAAAGCCTTCCCTGTTGTAAGGGATCGTGCGAAATTAGAAACGGAACTTTTCAGTATATATCAACAAAGAATCGAAAACCTCTCGAGCTTTATTTTAAGAAAAATTCACGTTTTCAAGCTCTTGTATGGAAACCGTCCGGATCCTGAAATAATTCAAGTGATTTTGCCGAGGTTACTACCCCCAAGTGCAAGACTTTATTGAATTAAGAAAATCCGACTACACTGGAAAAGTTATTTGAGCTAGCAATCCAGTTTGAAAGTAGAAGAACGGCGGACGTCGAAAGAAGACGCCAATATCAACAGCGAAACCAATTTGGTACGCCAAGACTACAGCAAACTCAAGCACATGGCTACGGAGAAAAAGCGAATCAGTGGGCAAGGAAACCCGAGCATTCAAAAACAGCCGGCGAACGTCGACAGTTCAATAGCAACCCAGGAAAAAAGTCTCAAGGCCAGTGGAAAAAGAAGGAAAGCACGGAAAGGAAAAATAATTTAAACTAAAACGGATTTCTGCTGACGAGAGGGTGCGGAAATCCGAAGGCCACGAAAACCCCTCTTCCTACAAGTTAAATACAGTAATGGTGAAAAATTTGACTCTTCCGAAGATTGAAGTCTTGGTAAATAATATCCCGGCCACCGCACTCCTGGATACCGGCGCGCAGTGTTCCTGTGTGGCAGAAGTCTTTTTTAGAAAGTATTTTCGCAAATACCGCATATATAATGCGGATAATACGACAGTATTAGCGGCGCAAGGAGAAAATGTAAGTGCGTAGGTAAAGTACCTTTGTATATCCGTATCAAGGACGAACAAGTAAAGGTGATGTTTTTTATAGTAAAGAATTTGCAAGCACATTTAATCTTAGGAATAGACTTTTCTTTCAGACGCACAAGCTACACTGGATTTTAATGAAGCGTCCCTTAAGCTGACAATGAAACCAGTGCGTGTAGAAAAGGTTGAACCGCCAAGGTTAAATCTTGACCACCTGCCTAATGACGAGCAAGATAGAATCCGACAAGTGGTAAGTGAATTTGCTTCGTTATTTAGTGATATTCCAGGATTTACTCAGGTTACTAACCATAGTATTGACACCGGAGATGCATTGCCAGTTCGTCAAAAACCATACCGGTATGATAAGAATAAGGAAAAAATTATAGAATGGCATATTACCGATATGCTACGTAAAAAGATCATAACGCCCATCTCAAGTAGTTATGCTAGCCCGGTGGTTTTATGTAAGAAAAATAATGATTATCCTTTGGAGCATCCAAAAAGGTGGAGATTCGCTATTGATTACCGTAAATTAAATTCCATAACGAAATATCCGGTATATCCGTTACCGATCATAGAAGAAATTTTAAGGAACATAAAATCAACCAAATTTATGACGACTTTAGACTTAACGACTGGTTATTTTCAAATAGGGGTCAGGCCTGAGGACGTGCCTAAGACTGCTTTTATAACCAAGTCTGGCACTTATGCATTTTTGCGTATGCCGTTTGGCCTTTCAGGGGCCCCAGGCAACATTTCAGCGATGCATGGACATTGTGTTAAGACCTGTTCTTGGAAAGTCCACATTTATCTATTTAGACGATATCATTATTACTAGTGATAATCTCGACCAACATGTACAGGATTTAAGACAGGTGTTTTCTTTATTAAATGAGGCCGGTCTAAAAGTTAATGTCGAAAAGTGCAAATTTGCAGCCCCTGAATTAAAATATTTAGGTTACAAAATATCTCAAAAAGGGATCGAGACAGATGAATCAAAAATAATCGCTGTACAAAAGTATCCGACTCCAAACACGGCAAAGAAGCTCTCTTCTTTTCTAGGACTTTGTTCATATTATAGGTCCTTTATAAAAGATTTTGCGGCTATCGCTGAGCCATTGTTAAAATTAAAAAGGAAAAAGGCAAGATTCTCGTGGACGGCCGAAGCCAATAGTGCTTTCGAAAAATTAAAACAAGCATTAACGCAAGCCCCTGTGTTGAAATTTCCTGAAAAGGATGAAAATTTAGAAATTTCAGCGGATGCTTCGGATTATGCGGTAGGAGCGGTACTTTCGCAAAATCAGCAGCCCGTGGCATTTTTTAGCCGAACTTTAAATCAAACACAAAGAAACTATTCCGCGACCGAGAGAGAGGCACTTGCAGTTCTGTTAGCAGTGCAAAAGTTCCGAGTCTATTTTGGAAAGGCGCCGATAACAGTATACTCTGATCATGCGGCGGTAACTAGATTGTACTCAGGGAAAAATTTATCCCCAAGGTTAATAAGATGGGCACTCAAGCTGCAAGAATATAATCTGGTAATCAAGCATACCCCCGGAAAGGAAAATATCGTAGCAGATGCCCTATCACGAATTAAAATTAGACGAACAGGTAATACCGTAAAAGTTGGCAATGCTTACAGCGTGTACAATAAATTCCCGAGAAACTGTAATAACCGAACTGGGTAAGGATCCTGAGTTTGGAAGTATTTATGAGTATTTGAAGGATCCTGAAAATTTTAGCCACCAAGATATTGTGGCGATAAGAAATAGGGCGGCCCATTACGAACTAATAGATGGTCTATTATTTTATACAAAAACTACGAATTCCAACAACGAATTTCGACCTGTTATCCCAGCTAGTCTTAGATTAAATATCCTGCAGGAGCTCCATGACAGCCCTTTAGCTTCTCATGCTGGTATTCGAAAAACTATCCAACGCGTACGCGAGGCAGTCTACTTTCCTGAACTGCAAAAGTTAACAAGGGCGTATGTCCAGTCCTGCCCAACATGTCAAGCAGTTAATTATATTAATTTCCGCCCGGCCGGGTTTCTAAATAGTATTAAATCCGAATTTCCAAATGAAATAATTGGCATCGATTTATTGGGCCCTTTCCCAAAAAGTCAGTTAAATAAAAGTCGCTATCTCCTTGTTATGGTTGATCATTTTAGTAAATGGACCGAAATTGTTCCCTTAAAACGAGCCTCCGCGAAATTAGTTACTGATTCTATTTTAAATAAATATATTTTAAAATACGGGGCGCCCCTAAAAGTTATATCGGATAATGGTCCTCAATTTGTAAGTAATATATTTGAAGACATGTGCCAAAAACTGGGCATACGTCATTTAAAAATGGTCCCGTATCGGCCGCAATCAAATATAGCGGAACGGGTCAACAGAAATATAGTGAAAATTATCCGTAGTTATGTTAAAAATTTTCATAAAAGCTGGGATAACTATGTCAATGAATTTGCTTTCGCCCTTAGGACCGCAAAACATGATACAACGGGCAAAACTCCTGCTGAGTTATTTTCTAGGCAGAAAGATTATAACACCGTTAGATAAATTATTTTATGTGCAACAAAGAGCCCC